TTTAAACTCAGTGGCGTACGGCGAACATCTTTTTATTCCGGTTGGGTCTAATGCACATACATGCATACTTAGATGGCATTGGTGTTGAATCAAAGCACATTGTAATGAAATTCATTGAAATTGAACTTGACAATTGAAATTGACAATTGGGTGCGAGTATTTCGCTACTTAGATATATATGTACTATGTATGTATGTATGTAAAAGGAAGATATGTAGTAAAATGCGTACTCTTACTTTTGGGAATCGCTGTCTGTCTAAATGGTGTCTTATTTTAGCAAAAAACTAGCAAAATGCATTTTTCGCAATACGTAGATATGTACCTACATATGTATATGTATATGTATGCATGTAGGTATGTATGTGTGTGTGTAGTACTTAGCAATGACTTTGGCGCTCTTTTTATTTGGAATAGAATATTGTATAAAAAAGATTGTAGTAGGTGCTCGGGAGTGAATTGAATTTTTGTACGTAAGTATGCATGTGTGTGTGAACATTGACAGCACAGTTGAAGACGTTTCCGGCGCTAAAGTCTACAGCCACCGGACGTTAGTGTTATAAAATAAGATGCCGCCATTGTGTGCTGCATGGAGCATTGCTTACATGGTAATGGTAATTTTCAACATAAGCAATAATTTTCAAATATTTCGCACTTTTCTTGCAATAGTTAAATGTACAAATATGTAACGATAAGTGTATAACAATTTAAGAGAAATATGCATAATATGAAAGTGTATTAAAATTACATGCTTATATAGATATGCAAATTTACCAACAATGCATAATTGTGCGTGTGTTAAAAACTGCATGGCAATTGGCATTTCCGTCTAACTATTTATAATAATCCCCACATTCATTTGAGACAAAAGGCAAGAAAATTTCAATTATGCGCAGGAAAATTTTCCTCAAGAACTGCCCATGCAATAGCGACATGAATGGATAAGGAAATTTAAAGGAAATTAAGATTGATAACGGTAACCGAGGCGTTAAAAATGAGGACTCTTAAAACATATTTATCGCTAAGAATATCGATATCGAAAAATAAAAATATTTGGCGGAAGTCTTAAAATATAATAAATTTTATATTTCCGACGGAAAAACAGTACGGAATTTTTTATATGGAGCGTTATGCACCACTATATACATACATATACAAAATTATAATGATAACAGCATTAATTAAATATATTGTTTTAGATATCGACATATATAACTTTGTACATCAAATATCGATATACGATAAACAAATATTTCACTAGCGAGGGTTACGAATATAAATATATGTAATAGCGTCAATACATTTGATGCCAATGGACCAGGAACCGTAACGGTTACGATCTTTTAATACAAATCATTATTTAACCGTTATAATTGGACCTATATTTTTCGGATAAATTTTGACCGTTATGTTATGATTTTTTCGATAAGGAATAATCGTTAACTTTGGATTTTTTTTTGCGGTAATTTTAACGTAATAGTTATTTTTATTTTTATTTTTATTTTTATTTTTATTTTTTCGATTATATAATAACCGTTATTCCCGAATTTAATTTTTTAATTCATAAAAGAATTTAATCGGTCACAAAATTGCAGTCACCATTATAACGGTTAAAAATGATCGACAAATAAAAAAAATAACGATTCAATTTGACAAAAAAATAAAAATCCAAATTTAACGATTATTCATGATCGAAAAAAAATAACGATTTTGCAATGATCAAAAAATAAAAATCTTAATATTTAAGGGCTATTTTCGGTCGCTGCATAATTTAACACATTTACCAACCAGCTTTTTGATAGCTTATAATAATAAAATCATTAAGAAAAGGCACACATGTAAACATGAACACATTTATAAATACATACATATGTATGTATGTATGTATATGTNATAAATACATTTTTAAAACACTTAAAAAAAATTTCTTAAAACTCTCTGCTAACTTACGTAATCAATTACGTAATCAAGCTATCGCTCGCTCGCTCACCTAAGGCATTTCATTGTTGCCAATGCGAAACTTTATGAAGACATTTATGAGTCGCTGTCGTCATACATCAAATGACGCAAGTAACATAAATTTCATTCTCCACTTTCTCCAAGTAAATTCTTCTTTAGATATCGAAAGCACCTCTGAGTATCAGCTACTTTTGTATGTACATATATAAGTACTAATGTATGCATTTAAGTGCTTAAATAGAAGTGGATGAATAAGGCCTCCCCCAATAGGCAACCACCCACACTTGTATTAAAATTTATGTGCATGTACTTACGTACATATGTATGTATGCATGTATATAAGTGCATAACGAAGTATCTGAAATGTGCTGTTATTGATGTTGATTAT